GCAGTATACCTCACTACTCTCACTGCTCTTCCACTACGGTACGAAGCCAACGGTGCGGAGTCAGGGAACGTCGCATGACACGATAACAGCTCCACCACAAGAGCCACCGCGCCGCCGCGTGCTCTCACACCTGACTGCGGTCCGGTGACTTCGTCTCGCGTACGAACCCGTATGTTTCCTTTCTGCTCTTGATCGGCCTTGTGCCCTCTAAACCTCATTTCGACACGGTCTGCTCTACGATAGTGACTAAAGACTAATTGCGTCTCGCCAGCAAACAATGCTACGTCCGCCCTCGTAAGACAGTGTGCCTCATGCACCCTGCCCGCATCATTCGCGAACACCTCATCAGACCGTGTGATAAAGAGATAGGACAAGCACAGACACAGCCACATCACTCTGCCCCCTTCCCCCCAGTTCTGGCTTGCGCTTTGCCCGTCCAGCAGCATACGCCAAGACACAGGCAGGCGCACACGGCGTACCGTCCCCACAGCCACGTGGTTCCTCGCAATCCCCCTTAGCGCACATTTCAACATCGGAGACGACAAGTCTAGCTCGACAGAAGCTTCCAGCCTATGAAAATGTTGTACAGCCGTGAGTTTTCCGGATATTGTACTCGCTAGATTACCCTCAGACTCGAAACACCAGGCTACGAAGTCTATCAACTCCCACACATGAAGGTCCCCGGCACGTTGCCCTAGGAACTTGGGCTTCTCCGTCAGCCTGTGAAACGTGCACCAAGAGTTGAAGCCTGACGTGTAAGTCCTTCTAGACGAAGACGCAACTGAGTGCTCGACGAGCTGCATGCCAAGACGTCGGTAACAAAGTCCCGTCCTGCCTGTCCCAGGTCCTGAACCTGCTGATAGCCCTGGAGCCAACCTCGTGTAGACCGGCGTGCTGCCGTTCGATTTAGCCGCAGGTGCGCTGCCATCCGAGGTAGCCCCCCCCGCTACGCGGGAGAGCCCGCACCCCTATTTGTCTTTCCCGTGGGTGAAGAAGCCAGCGGCCTTGGGTCTCGCGCCGCCCTCGCCAGCGGCGCGCGCCTCTCCTCCGCGCCCTCCCCCGTTGCCGTGGCCAACGCCGCGCGCGCCGGTTGCCGGAGTTTCGGACGCTCCGCGCCTAGCGTGGGAAGGGTTCTGGGTGTGGATGTGTGGGCAGTTACGATCATGGCAACCGGACGACGAGTTGAAGGCGAAGCAGTAACCACGAGCGTGTCGAGCGATGCCGCCACTTTCTCTGTCACCAGGACGCCTTTGCGAAGCAAGGATTGCCACTCCATCTGCGACAGTTTTGAAACTGCCGGAGGCCGCCCCAGGATGAGCCACGCTTTTACCCGGCGGAGGTCCCCCCACATCCGCGCTCTATCCTTTGCCGTAGCCTTAGCCGCCTCGGCGCTGGGTGTAGCGGGGGCCCGAGAGGCCGATGGTGGGGCGGTTGTGCCCACCAGTTGCACCCCCCCCCGGAAGGCCAGGTCCTGCTGCTTGGGTGGCGATCAGGTCGTCGATCGTTGCTTGAAGCTGCTGGCGATCGCCGGCAGCCTCATCGCGCTTCCGCTGCTACTCCTCCCTCAGGCCGTCCACCAGCCCG